GTCATATAAAACCAACCCAATTGATAAGAGTCCGAAAACTCTCAAGGCGTTAGCAGCATGCGATGGGTTGATGCATAGGCAAAACTGACGCACCCAATCCCGAGAGTCATCATAGAACCAACAAGCTAGGAACCTATGGCTTCGTTGAATAAGATGGCCTTGGTACCATGAGGACACTTCGGCTGGCGACTTCCAAGCTCTGGTTCGGTGGCTATGAGACTTGTTGTGAATCAACGAATGGCCCCCCAAGTAAATCCTTATCTCCACAACCACTGGACCGTTTTGGTTCAAAGTTTGTACATGTGGAAAACTTATTTAATATTGTTTTATGAACCCATAAAAAATGACAATTCACCTTGGCATCTCAATGCCGCCAAATTTCTTGTGCACGCCTGAACTTGAGGCTCAAGTGTGGAAATCCGCAGTTGAAAAAATAATGTAAAATCTTCAACTAACAGAATGAGATTCGAATAAGCACGGTGCAATTTTTGCAATTTTTTCCAACACCCAGGCTCCAACTTCCACCGACATTACCCAAAATGGCAGTTGTGGATTTCGTCCACAAGTTCCCGAGTACACATAAAAAGTTTTCTTCCTCCCCATATCTCCTCAACCAGGCGACCATCTAGGACAAAATTTTGGGGGTGTAAACTACTAAATCAACTCTACATTTAGAGCCCAAGAACGCATCGTGGGAGTACGAAATGGTGGAGAATGAGGGGATTGAAGCGAAAAAATATACATGAGGCCCTAGCGTGGAACTCTGCAGTCATAGAAATCGTATAAAATTGTTGGATAACAGAACAGCATCTAAATAACCACGGGGAAATTTCTACCATTTTTTCTCGGCATGGGGAGTTCCCATGAGCCTCCAAATTGCGAGCTGCTCCATTGGACTCTCACTCGGAATGACATTGTCGTGAAAATCAGGAAAAATCACAAAACGTTCGAGGAACATGTGAATAAACAAGAGGATTTTTTTCTTATTTTCTTACTCGATGAAATAGGCTCATTTGAGGCCGAAATGACGAAAACGGAGCCCATGAACCTCGCCCACAAGAAAATGAGGATATGTAAAATAAGATACGTACATGCAAATGACACAGGAACCATGATGACACTGAACAATGCGGATTCCTTGATCAAGGAACGAGAACTTTTATACCGCACTCCCATGTTCATCGTTGCTGTGGCGGGCAGTGGCTGCATCCTCGAAATGCGCAGCTAGATGGAAATCTTGTTGGCACTGAAGGTATGGTCATAAACAACTGGTAGAAGGTAAAGGTGCCATAATAGCTGAATGAGTACGTGCCAAGGGTTCTGCTCCACAAGCGCACAGGCGTTGCGAGCAGGTGGGTGGCCTTGAAATCTACAGGGTTGCCGGCATTGGTGACAGTGATGATGGCAGTCACAGGGGCAAGCTCGGTTGGGGTGACGGCAGGGATGTTGAAGGTATGGGCAGGTGCAGATGGGAGCACCAGGGAACAGCACTCAAATTAGTAGGAATGGTGGCACGGGGCGTTATTATGAATGCAGATCACAGTGTTGCATATGACAACAGTGATGGTGCTACTCGCGTGTACTCCGCTCGTTCCCCAGCCCCCAGTCCTCGCTTCGCTGCGGGGGCTGTCTCACTTCACGCTAAATGTTACATGGGATTGTTTTTTTTTTTTCAATAGCCCGCACACCATACCACAGCCCCACGCAAATCCAACCCACTACGCAAACCCAACCCCCGGTGGGCAATGAGAAATGAGAAATACGGCATGGCTAGTACAATATGCGAACAAGGAGGCAAAATATAATTTTGCAATTAATAGTGTACACATAAAATATGAAGAAAAATATACAAGATACGAAATAATATGTGAAATGGATAGCATTACTCGATCAAGAAGCCCTGGAACCCATAAGCACCAGAACTAACAGACCATTGCGCACATGATAAACAGGCCAAACCTGTGAACAAGATGTTTAGCGGCACCGAGGGAATCCTACTGAAGCCGGGGTCACGGGATCAACGGGAATAGGATGGGAAAGGTTGCCGGTCCATATTCCGAGAGTTTTGGAAATTGCCAAAACCCAACCCAATAGGACCAAGCGTGAAGACAAGCCTGATAACAACACTTTTAGCGGCACTGGGGGCGTTCTATTGAGTTTGGGGTCACGGGGTCAATACCAGTAGCGTGAGAAATGTTGTCGGTTCCTATTCCGAGAGTATCGGAAATTGCCGAGCCACAACTCTGTAGGCCGTGGGAAACAGTGAGGACGATGTGTGTTGCTCAGTGATGTGATGAAGGGAGTTACCGGGCTGTGGGAAGGAAGGGAGTATTCAAAATGTTGCGTGGGAACTCCCTCGAAGGGGTCGTGGGAATGCCCTCGAAGGGGTCGTGAGAACAAAAAATCAATTCAGTAAAGTGTGGGAATTTCCCTCGAAGCCCCTTCGAGGGCGAATCCACGGGATTGGCCCATGGCACGATTGGGCACAAGTCACTCGTGCCCTACTCGTGCCATTGTTGATTTCTCCCCCATTTCTGAGTATTATCAGGCACTGTTGATGTTCCAAAGGCCGTATGGATATCCTATACAAGATGCAAAAGACCCCAAGTCCATAGCTACTCTGGTTCCTGAGCTATTCAACAAACAGACTTGTGCCCTCGACTCGTGCCATGGTGGCACGACTTTCTTTTTGCAATAACTCAGTCACCAGAGCAGTTATGGACTTGCAGTCTTTTGCATCCTGTAGGGGAGGTCCATACGGCCTTTGGACATTCATTACAACCTGATAATACCAACAAATGGATGAATAATGGCCCATGGCACGATTGGGCACAAGTTGATCGTGCCCTACTCGTGCCATTGTCAATTTCTCCCCCATTTCTGAGTATTATCAGTCACTTTTGATGTTCCAAAGGCCGTATGGATATCCTCTACAAGATGCAAAAGACCCCGAGTCCACAGCTACTCTGGTTCCTGAGCTATTCAACAAACAGACTTGTGCCCTCGACTTGTGCCATGTTGGCACAACTTTCTTTTTGCAATAACTCAGTCACCAGAGCAACTATTCACTCAAAGTCTTTTAAGCCCTGTAGGGAGTATCTATACGGCCTTTGGACATCCGTCGCAACCTGATAATACCAACAAATGGATGAGTAATGGCCAATGGCACGATTGAGCACAAGTCAATCGTGCCCTACTTGTGCCATTGCTGTTTTCTCTCCCATTTCTCTGTATTATCAGGCCTTGTTGATGTTCCAAAGGCCGTATTCATAATCTTCACCGGATGCAAAAGACCCTGAGTCAATAGCTGCTCTCGTTCCCGAGTTATTCAATAAACACACTTGTGCCTTGTGCCCCATTTTCCCATTGTCCAACTTTGTTTCTCGAATAACTTCACAACAAGTAACCCGTTTCACTCAGAGTTTTTTTCATCGTGTAGAGAATATCCATGCGGCCTTTGGACACCAGTTTATATGTCATAATATTAAGAACTCAACAAGTACTGGCCAATGGCACGATAGGGCACAACTTGGCACACTATTTTCTTTCCTTGATAACTTGGTAACCAGGGCAGCTAATCACTCCGGGTTTTTTGCATCTTGTAGAGGGCATCTATACGGCCTTTGGACATTCATCAAAGCCTGATAATACCGACAAATGGATGAATAATGGTCCATGGCACGATTGGGCACAAGTCAATCGTGCCCTACTTGTGCCATTGCTGTTTTCTCCCCCATTTCTCCGTATTATCAGGCATCGTTGATGTTCCAAAGGCCGTATTCATAATCTCCACCGGATGCAAAAGACCCTGAGTCAATAGCTGCTCTAGTTCTAGAGCTATTCATTAAACACACTTGTGCCCTCCACTTGTGCCCATGGTCCCATGTTTGAACTTTATTTCTTGAATAACTTCACAACCAGTGACCCGTTTCACTCAGGGTTTTCTGCATCGTGTATAAATTTTTAATACCTACCTTTTGATATGCTATAGACCCCAAATGAATCGATTCTCAACTTGAGCTCAAACACTAATAAAACTCAGGGCACAACTTTGTTTCCTCAATAATTCAGTAACCGTGGCAGCTATTCACTCAGAATTTTTTGCATCTTGTAGAGAAGATCCATACGGCCTTTGGACACTAATTTATATGTCATAATATTGAGAACTGGCCGAGTACTGGCCAATGGCACGATAGGGCACGACTTGGCACACTATTTTCTTTCCTTGATAACTTGGTAACCAGGGCAGCTAATCACTCCGGGTTTGCTGCATCTTGTATAGGACATCCATACGGCCTTTGGACATTTATTGAAGTCTGATAATACCAACAAACGGATGAGTAATGGTCCATGGCACGATTGGGCACAAGTCAATCGTGCCCTACCTGTGCCATTGCTGTTTTCTCCCCCATTTCTGAGTATTATCAGGCGCCGTTGATGTTCCAAAGGCCGTATTGATAATCTCCACCGGATGCAAAAGACCCTGAGTCAATAGCTGCTCTCGTTCTCGAGCTATTCAATAAACACACTTGTGCCCTCCACTCGTGCCCTTGGTCCCATGTTCACACTTTATTTCTTGAATAACTTCACAACAAGTGACCCGTTTCACTCAAGGTTTTCTGCATCGTGTATATATTTTCAATACCTATCTTGTGATATGCTATACACCCCAAACAAATCGATTCTCAACTTGAGCTCAAACACTGAAACTCAGGGCACAACTTTGTTTCCTCAATAACTCAGTAACCGTGGCAGCTATTCGCTCGGGGTTTTTTGCATCTTGTAGAGGAGATCCATACGGCCTTTGGACACTCGTTTATATTTCATAATATTGAGAACTGGCCGAGTACTGGCCAATGGCACGATAGGGCACGACTAGGGCACGACTGGGCACGACAATGAATTGGCCATAACTCCTGAACCGTTTACCGGACTTCCATTCCCGTTACACCGTTGGAAAGGTGTGATTTTTCTCTTTTTTATGATACCAAAAAATCGCCATGGCACAAGTATTATGATTCATAATACCCACTGTGATTAGATAGGGTTCCAGCTTGAAGTAAGATGAGTCTCCTTTTGGCCAAGTTACGTTCCTGACTGGACTTATCTTCACAGCCTGTAGCTCGGCGCAACACTCACAGCATAACATATCTTAACGTCTATCACACAGAGAAACAGCTCACCTACCAGCTCGCTGGGAGGTCAGTCACCAAGGAACTTGGTGCAGACGTTATCCTCAACTCAAAGGCTCCTGATGGGGGATCAAAATGGTTCCAAGGGATGTATTCATTGTATGGAGAAGCAGCCCAGAAGAAGTTTTCAGGTGCAGCCCACTTCAAAGCACGGCTTCCCATTCGGCATGTCCACTCTGTGCTCTGCACGCTCCCTCTACAGTCTCTGCTCCAGGCCACGTTGGTCATCCAGCAGATATTCTGTGGTGAGTATGACCCTTTGTTATGCACCTGGATAAATTGGATGAGACCTTTGTCCTCATGTGTTCAGGGAATTCAAACAATTCCGTCTGCTTGCTCTCAACTGGATATGCAAGTGGCAGCAGGACAGTGGTGGGAGCCTTGCATCCAAGGAGATGTCCTTGGCTTTGAAGGCAGCAGCACTGTGGATGATGAACGCCCTCAACAGTTGGCCAAAAGACAACCCCGCATTCAAGGCCCTGGCAGACTATGTGCTTCCACACACGGAAGATGTAGCCTCAGAGCATCTCTTCACTGACATGCCAGCACTACTCCCAGACACGTTCACTGACAGGGCAGCCAGGGATCATGGGTGGGAACCAGAAGAGGGGGAGGAAGGTGATGGCAATGAAATCGAATGGTTCAGTTACATGCCATTCGGCATGTTCATGACTCGGGCTCTGGTGCTCCAGCCTGAGACTGATTGTCCTCGATTGGAATATTCCCCATGGCGATGCATATCCAGGGATCATTGGCCATTTTTACTCAAGTATGACCTTCAGACACTCCGCCTAAAGACCTCAAAGATTCAGCTGATTGCTGAGAGGCACCCTGACCACGTTCCATGGAGCACACGCCCTACAAGACTCATTGAGGAGCCACCAATCCATGGAGGTGCCGATGACTCTTTCAATCTTGATGATCTGAGGGAAGCACTTGTTGGAGGTGGATACGACCATGGCAATGATCTCCCTTGGGCACAGCAAACGACTGCGGAAACAAAGGAGATGGGGGAGATGCTGAAGGAAATTTGGTGGTCGTTTCCATGAGATTTATTGGTCAAGGCACCAGGGGTCAAGGGTGGTAGAGGAGCACACATCCGACTTGGAAAGACTGAAAGAGAGGAGGCGACATTGGAGATATTCGCAGACCTGGATCTTGCATGTGTGTTCATGCACTGCAAAGTGCAAGAATGCAGCACCACAGAGTGGAGGCACAATGTTGGGATTTTCTTCCTTGACAAGGGCGCTGTGGTGCCTGCATCAGCAACAGGGTGGAAGGGAATGGCATATTGGACATCATGGGGACTGTTCAAAGAGGACAGCAAGGTCAGTGCCAGGTTGGTCAATAAGATCCGGGGAGAGATAGTGCGGCGGTTGGACACTCTTGCTTGGCTTCCTCTTGCAGAACCTGACCGACCATGGACTACTCGCAGCCAGGCACATGGCACTCTTTATCCCTCAGATGCACCTGCCTCTACATCTGCACCCATTATCTTGTTGCATCCACGCAAGCGATTGAGGAACATTCAGTGGATCCACCCATGCAGAAGTGAAAGATCAGAACACGGCGTAGTGGATGATGATGATTCAGACACTTAGCTTACTAACCAATGACAACGTTATGTCAGTAAACCTGGTCCCTTGCCTAGTCTCCTATGTGTATATATGACAAATAATAACAAATAACAAATAAATAATAAATGATAAATGATAAATGATACTGGATCTACGAATGCCAAGGGATCTAACTCCCCTCCTGATGTCTGATGAATATGTGGACACGTGACATGTTAAAGAGTTGAACTTGTCAGGTGCCAATCTCACTGATGGAATTGCAAAATGATGGAACCTATGAATAAGTATCTCAGCTGATGCATGGCAATATTTGCTTCCACAGATACTGAGTATCTCAACTGGTGCATGGCAAACCCCAATATTATGAATTGTTCTCAGTCCTCAGTCCATGGTATGTTGGCCTTGCAACTCCGCTTTCTCTTGATATTTATTGAATCAAAATTTCGGGATCACCTGACAAGACCATTTCCCATCACCAAATATGTCTGTGGGCTGAGTGAACATGGGATGAGGACAACTGGAATATCTGACCTCAGCTTGTGGGAACAACATTTGCAGAGGCAAATGTTGCTGTGTGCCAGCTGAGATACTGAGTATCTCACCTTGGCTTGTGGGAACAAAATTTGCTGAAGCAAATGTTGCCATGCATCAGTTGAGATACTGAGTATCTCACCTGAGCTTGTGGGAACAGAATTTGCGGAAGCGAATTTTGCTGTGCACCCATTGAGATACTGAGTATCTCACCTGAGCTTGTGGGAACAGAATTTGCAGAAGCAAATATTGCTGTGTGCCAGTTGAGATACTGAGTATCTCACCTCAGCTCATGGGAACAAAATTTGTGGAAGCAAATAATGCCATGCATCAGTTGAGATACTGAGTATCTCACCTGAGCTTGTGGGAACAGAATTTGCGGAAGCAAATGTTGCCATGCACCAGTTGAGATACTGAGTATCTCACCTGAGCGAGTCATTTATTCTCTCACTCTCTGTCTCCCTGGTTCTCATCCCTCATTTAGTTTGTCATGTTCACTGCTCTGCCTCCCATTCAGGTGCCAGACTGACCAGCCCCTCTTCTGTTCTCCCTTTCGTATTTATGCATTGTAGATAGTATACTACCTATGTACCCCAGTTTGAATGTCAACTAGAATACCCCCCAAGTCCTCTTGTCCATAGTTGTCAGGGACAGCTCCAAAAGTGGCAAAGTCCCAGCATGGGGGATTCAATGGGAGGAGTAGCGGCTATGCATAGCAGTGGTCCTGTTGTGGGGTGAGCATCCCCGACCACTTAGTCTGAAGTGGGAAAGTGAGAATACATGACAGTTCATGACAGTTCATGACAATTTGTCATGAACTGTCATGAAATCCAAAATTTTCAATATAAAAAATGTCTGATTCAATTCAATTGTCATAACATGTCATGAGGGGGTCATGAAATTTCATGACATGTCATAACTCCTCATGATTTCATGATGCAGGATTACACTTTTGGAGAGTACCTCCTGTTTTGGTGGAGTTTGGATATATGGCTGTACTCCACTCATCCCAATATGAGCAATGTTGGGCCATGCACTGGAGTTTCACTGTAGCCAGTGGCAGATCCTTAGCTCAGATTTCTTTGTATGCGGTGAATGCTAGAGTGACTGAATGTAGTGTTTCTACCTGTAGTAACTCAGGTGAGCAGCCCTGGGGCAGTCTGGAGTAGACTGGAGTAGACTTTAGCCTAGATACAATAAGTAGAAAGGATAATATACAGGAAGACTTGCCTGGAGTAGACTTTAGCCTAGATACAATAAGTAGAAAGGATAAAGTCGACTCCAAAGTCACATGACTATCTATAGAGTGAAGATTGAAAGAAAGAGACAACTCAAACTACAACACTACCAGCTACCCAGAACTACCATTTGTGTGTTGTGCGATATCAAGCCAATCATGAGATATGTAAATACGAGTCCAATAACTAGCGACCTGCCTGACCTGCCTGAGCGCGATATCAAGTCAATCGTTAGATATCGTGCTTTGGCCAAGTTGCTGTCCCTTATTTGGGTGGCTGACCAGAACAAATGATACAATGTCACACACAACATGAGGTTGATGAAATTACATACCAATGAAGGCAGACCATGACTGTGCCTTAAAGCTGTCAAGTTCTACATCAGAGTTTTACAACACCAAGAAAGGGAGGGTGGAGAAGGCTCGAGAAGATTTTGGAGGGTATGGGCTCCATTTTTTGGTGGCCCAAATCGACAGGTATACGACTGATGGAGATCTTCGGTGCAACAACTTTTGCTTCGGGCTCATGGAAGTCAAGTCAGAGATTAGCCTAGGCAGCACTGAGCCTCTATTTGAAGCAGCCTGGTACTACGCTGCCTTTACAAGGGGACAGATTTCCGCTAATCTGGGCTCCAATCTCCCTTGTTTTATTCTCTACATCGCTGGTGAGCTTGCACGTGTGTTCTCGAGATGTGCATCATGACCTAAAGTTCATGTCGCAGGTGCCTGTATTAGTTTTGCAGGTGCCCTGTGGACCGCATGTAGTAACTCAGGTTAGCACCCCTGGGGCAGTCTGGAGTAGACTTTAGCCTTGATACAATAAGTAGAAAGGATAAAGTCGACTCCAAAGTCACATGACTATATATATAGAGTGAAGATTGAAAAGAAAAGAGACAACTCAAACTACAACACCGCATGCCCTCATCTACAGGTTCTAGCACCTACTTGCCGCTCTTCTGTCACACATCCGACGTTGATATGCAGAGGCAAACCGCACGTTTTTTGGGTGCAGCGAAGAATGCGATTCTCACGTTGAAGAACTACTACGAATCGAACTTGCGTGTACGAACGTGCAGACGCATGGGCCAACGAAGGATCCAACCTGCCCTCTGTCTACCCACACACCTCCTCAGCGGCATTCATGTGCAATCAAAACAAAAGTCAATTCAAAGGCGAGCGAATCTCCTGCTGGAACACCGACCCTATACAGCAGAAAGCGTCAGAACACCCAGCTGCAACCGCATAGAACCACATCTCCGACTAACAAAGCGCTTCAAAGCTCGCTCTCGAAAAACCTTTAGCTGCCTAATACAATTACGCACAGGCCACGCATTTATTGGACAATATTATGACTGCCCGAAATACAACCGCTACCTGCTACCAGACGATGAAGGCGAACTGATCCTGGACGACCTCCTGGGGGAGGAGAAAGGAATAGACAGAACAGCGGGATTTCTGGCAGTGAGTGGAGCATATGAGAAACAAATAGAGACATAACAGGAGAAACCGACACGAACCGAGTTATGACACCGCTGTACAGCGAAACCCATCCCGTGTTTCGACACCGTCACCCAAAATCGGCCAGCACAACACGACAACTCAAAAGCGGAGCAGCGTTTGGAGTTAACCTCGTCAGAAGGCATGAGAGCCTGGACTTAGATTATTATTTTCTCACTTTATTTCCATGTATTTATTCCAACCCCTGCGCTCATGAGCAGCCTAAAGTTTGCAGGATAAACATCCCGAATAAACAACAACATCAGCTTACTTCTGCTCCGATGTCGTCTTCGGCTGCTTGGCCAACATGCGTTTGGGGTCCACGAGTAGTTGGTCATCAGTGCTCAATGAGAACTGTGGATGTTTCCTCTTCTGTTCAATAAACCTGATCCTTGCTTCGAGAACGCAATACACGCCCTTATTCTTGGTGGGCTTTCTCAAAAGGGTGTCAAACATAGCTTAACGCATGAACGCTTACTTTTAATGAGGGTGTTATTTAGTGGCCTTGGTGAGCAATTTTCAACAGCACGGCCATCAACAGCCTAGAACTGAAAGGAGCCGATTGTGAAGATGAGATACGCGTGAGGGAATAGACCCATGACCTAGGCCCACTCTGCTATGCTGCAGCTCAGGTAAGGCCTACCAGCTGACCTTGTTGGTCCATCTGAAGAAATCAGGCAATCAAACACCGTGAAGCTCGAATGGAGTCATGGCCGAACCCAATCTACTCAGGCACTGAGTGCTGAGAGTGACGATCCTGAGGGAGCTGTGGTAACAAGGGGGTTCCCTACCGGGAAATTCGCTACGCAGCAGCGATGCATTGCGGTTGACCAGAGGTATATAGGGTCCATGCGTATTTATACATAAAATGTACCCAACATAACGCATGTGTGAGCAGACCAATGCCAAGAGTAGCACAGCGATGGCCTGGACTGAAGGCCCAAGCCTCTGAATTCCCAACAAGCCAGCGAATTTGTAAGGGGCATGAAGACATTTGAGTTGGGTTACACCAGTGGTTGGTATGCCATCTAACCCATGGTTGGAGGGATTATTGGCACCCACCCTGATGAGAAATTTCTCATTGGGGCATAACTCTGTGAATCCTCCAGCTGAAAGTGACAAACATGCCCTGATGGAAAAGATCTCATCAGGGCACAACTCAGTGGTTCCACCCAATCACTGATCATGGCCCTGATGGAAAAGTTTCCATCAGGGTGACATCCTTCCATCTTCATCTCCAAAATCATGTAGTGCTCCAATTGTCCCCTCCACCATAACATATGGAAATACATTTCAATGACCATATGTCAGGGCATGCCACCCTGCGCTGCCTCCTTCTCTCTCTCCTGTCTGTCTTCCTTTCTTTCTGTCTCCCTTTCCTTCCTTCTTTCTCCATACAGACAACCTTCTCCTTCATACCTGTAGCCCAGACACATCCGATGCCAGGTACCCCACAGGTGTCATATCCATACCAACTCCACCTAACCTCCACTCTACTCCACTACTGTTCCGGTCCACCTCCAGTCCATCCTCCCCCTGCACCTCCACCATACCCTCCAGTTCACCTCTGCCTCCGATCTCCAGTACCTTCTCCGGTACCTCTTATCTGTCAGGGATGGCTCGAGGAAGGCAGAGGTAGCGGTGTAGCGCTCGACACTAGTGGCCCAGATGGCGACGGGGCGGTGAGACCATATAGTGGGCAGCCCTCACTCAGGCTCATGTCCCTGTGTGGCTTCTTAGGCTGAAGCGGGAAATGTAT